AGGAAACGAGAAAGTTGTTATCCCTCTTTGCATGATTCTATACCTCGAAAACCCAAGAGAATCTATCAAAAACCGCCTTGCACTGATAAAGGACTCTGGCAAAGTCTCAGGGTATAAAATAAATATTCCAAAGACAGTCGCATTCTTATACACCAACAATAAACAAACAGAGACCCAAATAAAAAGCATAATCCCATTCAAGATAGCTACATGAAAATGAAATACCTTGGCATCTTTCTAACCAGAGATGTGAAAGACCTTTACAACAAAAACTATAAAACAAAACACTGTTCAAAGAAATCAAAGATGACACAAACAAATGGAAAAATATTCCATGCTTATAGATTGGAAGAATCAGCATCGTCAAGATGTCTATCCTACCTAAAACAATCTACAGATTTAACACGATACCCATAAATTACCGGTAGCATGCTTCTCAGACCTAGAAATGACAGTACAGGAATTCATATGGACCCTTAAACAACCATGAAGAGCCAAAACAATACTCAGGGGGAAAAAAAGCGGGAAGTATCACATTCCCAGTCTTTAAACTTTATTCTAAAGCTACAATAATCAAAACAAAGCTAGTATTGGTACAAGAACAGGCATACAGACCAATGGAACAGGATAGAGATTCCGGAAGCAAAACCTCAATTTCTTAACCAATTCATCTTCAACAAAACTCCGCCAACAACCACTGAGGAGAGGACAACCTATTCAGTAAATAGTGCTGGGAAAACTGGCTGACCACATGCAGAAGATTGAAACAGGACCCCTACCTATCATCATACACAAAAATTAACTCTAAATGGATCAAAGACCTAAATGTAAAACCTCAGACTATAAGAACCTTAGAAAATGCTGGAGACATCCTATGGAAATTGGAACTGGCAACCAATTCCTGATCAAAACCCCAAGTGTCCATGCCATAAGAGATAAGATAGACAAGAGGGACTTCATCAAACTGACAAGCTTCTGAAAAGCCAAAGAAACCATCAAGAGAGTGGGAAGACAGCTCACAGAATGGGAAAAAATATTTGCTGCCTGTATATTTGACAAAAGCCTATTATCTAGGCTCTACAAGAAACTAAAATGTGCCAAAAAGAAAAAAATAAACAGCCCCATTACAAAGAGGGCAAAAGATACAAACAGACACTTCTCAAAAGAAGACATACGAGTATCCAACAGATACACGAAAAAATGCTCAGCCTCACTAGTTATCAAAGAAATGTAAATTAAAACCACACTGAGATACCACCTAACTCTAGTCAGGATGGCCATCATCAATAACTCAAAAAATCCCCAGCAAACACTGGCAAGGATGCAGGGAAAAAGGAACACTTTTACACTGTTGGTGGGAGTGTAAACTAGTTCAACCTCTTCAGAAAACAGGGTGGTGATTCCTAAAAGATTTAAAAATCGACCTTTATATGACCCCACAGTCCCTCTGCTGGGAATATACCCAGAAGAACTCAAATCACTCTATGAAAATGATACCTGCACAAGCATGTTTATTGTAGCATTAGTCATAATAGCAAAAACATGGAACCAACCAAGCTGCCCATCGAAAGAGGACTGGATACAAAAAATGTGGTACATGTACACGATGGAATATTAATACAACCATAAAGAAGGACAAAATAACGAACTTTGCAGCAACTTGGATGGACTTAGAGTCCATAATACTGTGTGATCTATCACAGAAACAAAGAACTGGATTATCACATGTTCTCTTTCCTAAGCAGACTTTAAGCAATTATCATAATACTATAAGAAAGGGCTTGGCAGTAGTGGAAAACTGCCAGGGGAGGAGGGGGTGAGATTGGCAGTATTGGGAAACTGCCGGGAGTGAGAGGGCACTCATCAACAAGAGCACCCGCGTAGTGAACTTTGTACCTAACCCTGAATTGTACCTCACATCTCTAAAATTTAAAAAATTGTAAACTACAAAATAAATTAAAAATAAAATTTTAAAATCAAGTAAATCTACAAGTTTAAGCCTGACTAAAATTTAATTTATATTTTTCTTAACATTAATTTAAAAAAATGAATCATTTTGACATGGACTTACTGATGCCAAGTATCATGTGAAAAGATGATTCTTGTTCCAGCTCCAACTGCATTTAAAAAGTTTAATAAATGAAAATTACTTAGGAGCGGAATTGCCCTGGGGATGTATTACAAGGCAAGTATAACAAGTGGGAGGTCTGACGTTGCAGAGTCTCAAATAAATAAATGCAGAAAATACCTTGCATAATGTCTTAAGCTGATAATCCAGAATCAAAACCCTGTCTAGTGTCACTTCTAGTGCCTAATAGAGACGCTACTATCATATATATTTGACAAGAAACTTCTCAGAACTGTTACTCAATCACCTGCACTGCATGTGACTTGGGTTCCAGACAATAACAAAACCAGCTTCATTTCCTACTAACTTCTTCAACACTCCAAGTACACCATTTCTGCTGTCAAAAACATGCTAAACTTTGTCCTGCCTTACAATTTGGAACTTGCTATGTCCTCTGTCTGGAACTATTCTCTCTCAAAACTCCACATGGCAGTCTCCTTTTCATAATTTAGGTCTCTACTTCAGTACCTCATCCCTAACCATCCCACCCGAAGTGGCAACACACACACATCTCTATTTCACTTCTCTGTTTTATCATCTTTCTGGACCTAATCACTATCTGAAATCATCCTGCTTATTTAATTATTTATTATCTATCTCCCTCCATTACAATGGAACAGAGACCATGTACACTTTTCACAGTTCTATCTCCAGTACTTTTGTCAGTGGAATAAAACAGTTATACAATCAGCATTTGCTCAAATAAATGTGAAACTTCTCTGCCACATCCATGCACTCCTCTTACAGAAAAGTTCCTCAGGTCTTTAATTATTTAAACAATTTGCCATATTCAATATAACAATTTAAAATAGTATTTGTCGGCTGGGCTCGGTGGCTCAGCCTATAATCCCAGCACTTTGGGAGGCTGAGGTGAGTGGA